GTTCTAATCTTAGAAGTATAGTGGTGTAAGACCACATTTGCTCCATGAGCCCTTTCGTCCCATGCAAATGCAGCTATCTGATGGCGGCTGTACCTGATGATGTTCCTACCATCACAATTTCAGTCGCAACCAACGGCTACAGCACACCAAAGAAGCTTATTCCAACCTGAGTTCAAACACGATTCCTCTAGAATCCTTAATGAGGATCCCCGCAGGCCCTGTGAGATATCCCTTGGGTCCCTTTAAAGGGGTTAAAGGGATGATATATAGGGTTAGCGTTTTAGGGTGTAGGGTTTAGGGGCCCCAGAAGCCCCCCTGCTTGAGAAACTCCCATGTCAGCTTGGCAGCTTGAGAGCTGAGGTGAAAATCAGAGACTGACGACTACGGCTTCTCGGGCTGCAAGCCGCGAGTGCTTCTACCTGAAACCTGCGAACGTATGTAAATTTTGGGTTTAGGGTTTAGGGGTTCATTTAGATTTTGGGCCACTAGTTTACCTACTTGTGGGAGGCCGAGGTAGTTCCGCTCACTTTTTTGTTGGGGTTTTGAGGCTTCGCTGTTCTTATCTCCTATGTGCTCAATGAAAGCGAAGACCAAATGTCTTGGCCCGCTCCACATCCCAAACGCACAACGCCCAAGCTTGTGCGTTGCCAGTGCTACGCTGCGTAGACCCTCCTTGTCTGTCCTCCTAGGAAAAATTGAACTCCCGCACGATGCATGTGTGGGCTGGAACCTGAAGCTTACCTGTGCGTCCATGTGCCCACAGGAGTGCACGGTGCTATGCATACGCCTGCAACAGCAATTCCTCTACAATTACCCTAAGCCATGAGAATCATGGTGCTAGCCAGCTGCAAGTACAAATTCTGCCAACGTTTCAGGGCAGAAGCAGAAGCCTCATGAACTCATGAATCCCAATGTGGGTTGTTGTCATTGGCTCCTGTTGTGCGAGCCGTGTTTGATGCGGTTCAGAAGATGGCACGTATCATTCGGGCCTGGAGAACGGGACCATAATTTTGTCCACCGCCCATGCCAGTTCTGCCCTAGGCCACATCACAGTTTCGGCTGCGGTTACAGGAGGACCATGTCGGTGTGGCTTGGGATGTTACATCGGTGCATCGGCTACATGGTAGGGAGTTTGCCATGTGGGAACCTTTGGCATGATGCAGACAGCCGGAAAAGACCAAATCTCTTTCAGCAGCTGTATAATCAGTGCGGGCCCATGCAGCTCTACTCATGAAAGTCTTTTACTGCACGTATGAGGGAAGAGCTCCGTTCTATAGAGCCCGAATAATTACCCACAAGCATTGTTACCTCATGGTACTCCCAGTAGTAGTATAAGATGCCCCAAAAAATTGCCTTTACATTATCCCTATACACAAGCCCAGTTTCCATGTCATGTTTGATCTCTTTTTCATGGTGATTCTCCACTGCTCTAATCATTTGAAATCCTTAAGCTCTAAGCCCTGAACGATATAGTGTGTACTTCCTCTTCCATTTTCATTACTTAGGAGCCCCCTCCATAAGCCCGGTAAGCCTTTCATGGCCTCAATGAATTTAAGGGGCTCACTCCTGAAGGACAGTGGCTGCAGTGTTTCGGACTTTCTCAAGACGAGGAAGCTACTGAGGCAAAGCTGCCAGATGTTCTTGCCGTTAGGGCTTAGGGTGTATACAAGGAACTAGATAAGTATGGTTTGTAGTAGCCAAGGGTTTTGAAAAATCATGCTTTCCTTTGTTGATGCATGGTTGCACCACCTAAGGCTGAAGCCCAGAATCGTTGCCCTTTCCACATTCAAGCCTCAAAGGGGAACTACAAGGGGACTTAGATTCAAAGATATCATGCAGATCGTGCTCCTTTAGGGTGCATTTTTTCCACGGGCGTTTCGTTAGAGTTAATAAGGATTTCGGATTGGAACATATGCGTCTGATTGACATTTGTTGTGCGTCTATTTCAGCGGCTGCATGTCTCATGGAGAGCATACAGCGCGTCAATGATTTAGGGGGCCTAATCGCACGAACGGCCCGATTGCAAGTGGGAGAGCAGAGGGGTTGGCTTGCTGGAGTTCGCGAGTTTTTGGGAGTTCATGGAATAAGGCTGAGGGTTCTGGGTGTGTCTCAACATGAGGGCTTTGCTTAGCGCCGCTCCTAGCAGTTGCCCTCTAGATTTGTGATTTCCTTTAAGAACCCTATTTTGAGCCATAGTCGACATAGCCACGCACAAAAAAGGGTTTCTGGTAGCTTGGATCTCCTTCCAAGGCCACTGCCCGCAGACTGCTTGAAATTCGATGACACGCTATAGTGGGCGTGATAAGATGGATATCCAGGTTTTGGGGTTTAAGAGGATGGTAGGGGTTGTTCAACAGAGGAAGAGTGTATGAGGATCCCAAGATAGAGTTCCAGCTGAGGGCCCAGACTTTCCTCTTGAAAATTGCAGAAGCGTGACCTAGGTACGAAAACAAACCAGCTTTAACCTGCAGTCCTATATACGTCCCGCTGGTAGCTCGCACTGGTGTCTAGATCAACTTTCCACTAATTTACATGTTATGGAACCTATCAACTCTCAATCTGTTGCATAGGTAGCCCATTCAGACGGCCCCAAAAAGGTGCCCCCCAAAACTGTACAATTTCCCGTGAGGAAGTGGGAGCGCCTCCGCTACGGGATCAGCAAGTTCGTCATGCAGCAGATGCTCGATGAACGTCAAGGCCAACCTGCCAAACCTGTCATATGAGGAAGAGATTCGTATGCACACTGGGTAATATGTTGATATGTACGTTACTCAAGGATCTTCAGGGTTTAGGATTCAGGTTTGTTTGCATAGGGCTCGCGTACGACTTGCCCGTGGCAAAGTCCCAGCTGATCCTGGTTGCGTAGCAAGTAGAACCGGGTCGTGTGTGCCTTGCTGAATCCGGAGCTTGTTTCCCACGCCTTAGGATTCTTTTGGTATACCTGGAGGTGCCCCGAATTCAGTTTTACCTTCTTCTTTGGTGTCTGGCTGGCTTAAGATTTAGTTGGGTTTGAAAAAGTCTGAAAGGCTTCCGCTCGACTTGAGACAGATTGAGTTGGGGTGCATGGCTGCACAACACCCGCGATCTGGGCTCTGGTGTTGCATAATTTAACTTCACCCCCTCCAGGACAGACAAATATCTTGAAAAGATTTCGACCCACAAAGATTATAATGGTACGAAGGTGAGTACGGGCCATTATTGTAGGGAACGATGCTCACCAGGGTGTGCCCTCCGCGTTAGCATCCTTCCAAAAGACGCACAAATTTGTAGGCCTTGCATGCCCGTGCAGGTTAGTTTTCACACAGACTTGAGGTGGTTCAGTTCTTGTTTGGGGGTGGTATAGCTTCAATCTCTCAGAGCCCTTGTCTTGACAGGTCCTCATGCTGTTCACTTGTCTCAGCATCGGCTCCGTGAGAAGGCTGGCTGTGAATTTCCTCCCTCGTTGTTCCCCCACCCTCATGTGAGGCTTACACAAACACACCAAAGGACTATGGTTTGGAAAAAAGTAGCCTTGATGAACGCTTGCTTTGGTCTAATGTCAGGCTGGCTAGTCAGGGAGGGAGTATACCGCTCCGCGAGCTCTGCGCGATTCATGGTGGTCAGGAGGATGCACGGTTGTAAGTGGCTAGCTTTCATTTATCTTGAACGTGAGCAAGAGACACCCTGACTAGAAAGCCAGAGCATAACACTTGAAAACGCCAATGCTGCCCAAAGCCGTCATGTTTCCCAATTTTCTTGGGAGACCCTTCCGGCAGCGGCACTCCTCAGGATTTGTTGGTTAGGGCTGTATCTTGAATGGGTACATCCTGAATCAAGGAATATTGGCACAAGAATACGATCCCGATTCCCTGCCCAGGAATCGAAATCGGAAACCCCATTATGTTTTACTTTTGCAATTTTGGGGCGGCCTCTCATCCCTTTAGAAAGGGTGTAACTTGTCTTGCTGAGAAGCTAGGCGAGGTTGCATTGTAGGCCTGGCTGCTTAGCCTGCAAACCCTATAAGCATCCAGAAGCTTGAAACCAAAATTCGATTACTTTCCGTTGCAGAGGTGAGAACTGAGAAGCATGAACGCATTCCCCAATACAAGCTACGTACCCAAAACACGCTGTTTGTCTCTTCATGTGAAATTCAGACCTCTACTTGACTTACACAGGCTCGGCGCCTGCGGGACAGAATTGGTCAGCACAAATACCTGGCGCCTGGGCTCAGCTTCAGTTCGGTCCCATGTCCCCATGAGGACGTCCCCAAACATGGCTCGACGCTTGAGGGTTCCTGCATGCAGACTGGATGCAGGGGAGCCTCTGCATGAGCAGCGCCGTAGGATTTCAGTTGCATGCTTGCGTGCGCAGCACCCCCCCTGAGTATTCCACAATGCCTATCTGCTCTACGCCTTTAACCCTCTGAGGTGCCAAGCTTACTCTAGCCAACGATTTTGGGTGCATATATGAGACCCTCAATACGTGAAATGTTCATGTGGATGCTGGATGCGTGTTTTACCAACCTGGGCCTGTCACGTTGTGGTCTTCGGGCATAGGGCTGCTGTCTTGCATGCAATGAACGCCACACCCTTGAGATGAAAAGCGGCCGCTAACCTTTCGGCTGCCAGCGTTGCTGCGGTGGTGACGGCAACGGCGGCCTGCGGTGGTGGTGGTGGCGGCGGTGGCGTGCGGCTGCGTTGGCAGTGCTGGCGATTGTCTCCTGAGAGTTTTGCAAACCATCATTGCCAACTTCTTAATAGTCTCCTTCCAGGGTTTCCGGGTTGCCAAGAATCTGCTCCTTTCGCGCAACCCCCCCCCCGCTATGCAGCTCTTCAACTTTCAGTCCGCGCCCAATGCCTGAATGTGCTTGATGCGTTGGGTCAAGGTTAAACCCAGAAGCCCAAAGGAATTGGTTTACTACACTTTTCATCCTTGGCTGCCTTGGCATGTGAACCCAACTTGCCAGACTGGGCTCAAGCCAAGAAAGATCTGCAACTGCAAATCGTAGGATGTCTCTGACCATGGACATGATGGAGTCGATGATTCACCCTGCCTTGGGCTCAGAGGCGCACAAGTACAGGCGAGATATGCAGATCTCCATCCCGGAGGATCAGGATGAGCACGTCTACCCCCCCGAGGCGGTACAGGTGCGCAACACCTTCATCCACGTTGCCACACCAGACCACGGATTGGATGATGCTTCGAAGCACGTTTACTCCTGTCCTGCAAGCCACATGGGGTGGCCCGAGCCTATACTTGGCACAATTTTCTATTGGACCGTAATCGAAAGCTTTTCCATTCTTAGAGTCTTTAAGTGGTTTTCCTCAACCCAAGACGGCTTTCAACGGGTGTGAAGGTGGATCACGAAGCTCTTTGAGGATGAGGACGACCTCCCCACCGGTAGCAACAAGCCCGTGATTTGCCTCGAGGATGCGAGCTCTCGGGGTGGGGCGTATGCGGCTTCTAAAAGCCAGAGGGTCCAAGTACCCA